CGAAAGATTCTAAATGGACTTGACTAGGCGGAGTTGAACTTAAGGAATTCAGAGACTTGACAAATCTTGACCTAGTTAGATCCGTTTAGCCTGACAATACGACGCTCGGATAGGTTGAGCAAGGAGATATACATGGGAATCTACTGGTCACATTAAAAGAACTCGTATCTAGAACTGTGGATTAACTTTTCCTCGATGTGCGGATTCTGTTCTTAATTCCGGTATTGATGGGGTGACTGGGGAATTCCGATAAATTAGGTCCGTAGAAGATTATTTTCTTTCTTTCTGTCTGTTAGTCATATGTTGCCTCCTCTGCGTGATCGAGAGATCCGACCTGGACTGTAACATATGCAACTCTATCTCTCTGCATCTTCTATCTATGCAATTCTTTCTATCTGTTAGCCATATACTGTCTCCTTTGCGTGACTTTCAATCCGACCTGGTACACAGTATATGCATCATTCTTCTTCTCAATCCCTCTAAAACTTCAGTTAGTCATATGTTTCACCCTCTACGTGATTGGAAGAGATCCGACCTGGGTGTATAGCATATGCATTCTAAATCTATCTTCTCTCTTAATAATTGTCTGCTCACCCGATGTAAGGAGTATTCTGGAAGTCCTTGATTACTGGAGCGTATCAGGAAGCGGGAAACATGTTCTAGTACAATTAAAATTGAACACTTACAGATTGTCTGTAGATCTCGCTGCTCAATTTAGGTGGACAACAATATCCCTGGTCGTCGTTAGCTAAATGGTCCCTAGGAAATTTATCTAAGAATAAAGGATCAAAAATGTCTTGTCTTTCTTAGCTTGTCCAAATTTATCACAAATTTTTTGTGTTTAAGTGGATCACAATATCGGCGATCGACCAGACGAAGACATGAAGGTAGAGGTACCGACAAGTGGATTAAGGCTGTCTAACAACTTTGATCCCAGTGTCACAAAATTATATTATGTGTTTGATGAGATAAATCTAGTCTTGTTTTATTTTTAGTTTTATTTTTATTTTATTTTTATAATTGTCAAAATTTAAAAATTTTAAATTTAGGAATTTTTTTATTATTTTAATTTTAATTTTATTTTTTTAAATCCTCAAAATGTTTTATTTTTATTTTTAAAATATTTGGGATTTGGACTGTGCATTATACTGTGTGGAAGACAGGTAAAATCGCACAGGGTATAAAATGTGGGTTTACAGCCGGAAACCTTTTCACTCCTCATTTTCTCTTTTTTCGGCCGCAAACTCTCTCCCATTCTCTCTCCTCTCGAAAAAAAAATTCTCGTGTTTTTGTGAAATCGTTCGGTTCATCTCAAAGGTATAACAAAATCGACCGTAGGAATGTGTTTTATTCATCAAATCGACGGTTTTTGGGGCCTTAATCGAAGAAAAACAGTCAGTCGGCGTTTACGGCTGAAGCTTACGGCCAAGGAGTTTACGGCCGTAAACTCCGTTTGCGGCCATGAGTTTACGGCCGTAAACCCCTAGTTGACCGTAAACTCCAGTTTGGTCAAAATAATTTTTTTTTAAAGGCCAAAATTAAATCAATTAATTAAGAAAACTTAAAACATTAATTGCTCAAATATTTTTGTTTTCTTACTTGACTTGTTTTACTACAGATCAAATGGCAAATTTGAAGTTCGCTGACATGCACAACTTGGCCATCGTACTGGCTGATCCTCTTGCTGTTCATGGAGAATTCAGGTCGATGATCCACAGGCTGAGGGATTGCTGCTTGGCATCTGCTATTACTGTGAATCCCGTGGTTTATCAGAATATCATCAGGGAATTCTGGAGGACTGCCAAACTGAAGACAGATAATGCTGGAGCAGTTACTGTTGAAGCTGTTGTGAAGGGTTGCAGGAATTATCAGAAAAAGAATGTGGTATGGAGCTATAGGGAAGTCGGACGTGCTGGTAGTTGATAAAGACTGAGTCCAAGCTAGCACCAAACCAAGGGGGAGATTGTTGGGTCAAAATATGGTTTATACTTTACTTTTCTAGGCATTAATAGTTTTTTGGTCGTGTAATATATTTTTGCAGTTGTATTTACGGCCCAATGGGTGTTTACGGTCGTAACCCCATTTACGGCCGTAAACCCATTTATGGCTCATATTCCCCAAGTATATATATAGGTGTTAGGTGGTTGAGGAGGGATTGATGAACAGAAAAGGAGTGTACGGCCAAAAGAGAGAGAAAGGAGCTTTAGTGTGTGTGAATCTTGTATCTGGATCTTCATTCTAATCAAATCATACAAGATTCATCATCTTCTTCTTCTCCTTCTCATTTCTCTTCTATTTGATCTAACATCATCCAATTGATTGGGATTCCGCACCATCAATTGGATCTGATTGATACACAAGCATATTTGGGGACTTACAAATACATTGTATACGTCCCTTTTATTTCATATAAAAGTTCTTTCTAATTCTAATTGTTTTCTTTTTCATTTTACACCCATCACACAAAACAATCGTGATGAGATCGTCTTTGATAAGGTTGCTGACATCGATGCATCCAAGGAAAGCTGAAAGATTCGTGTTCAAGTACTCTTGCTTTGGAAGCAAACTTAAAAAATAACCCAAACATGTGCAGCAGCTTGGACATGATTTTAATTGACGAGTAGGTACAAATTTTTCATTTTATTATTATGTTGCTTTTAATTTATAAAATTTCTAACTTAACCAATTTTTTTTCACTTACATGGCACTAAAATACAAGCAACAATAAAAAAAATCTCATTAGTTCGTTTGAAGCCCTCTTTGTTGAAGGATCTATAAGGGAAATTAGTAGTTTTGGTATGGCCATAAATGAAGGAGATTACATGCTGGTTGATCATAAGCATAAGAATAATTTCTACAAAACAACCAAAGTTCGTGTATCAAATGATTTTGTTGTTATGGTGGATCCTTATAATTTTGTGATTTTCTAGGATTTGATAGCCAGGAATCTCGACACTCGTGTTGCATTTGGTAAGATTTTATTTTAACATTCTACCTTATCTACACGTAAATATTTATTGTATTACACATCTATAATACAACAACCGTTTATTTTTTTTGTTCAAGATTTTCTTGGTCAGGTTGTGTCGACTAATCCCATGAAAGTGATTATTGAAAATTCAAATGAGAAACGGTTGATGAACCTGGTTGATCAGGATCTTAGTTAAGTATATGTTTTTAAAACATTTTGTTTCTAAAGTATTTTTCTACATGATACCATAAAACATGTCGTTTGCATGAAAATGACATGTTCATCTACACTTTAATATACATGTTTATTTTAGCATTACTTAAAACATTTCGAATCCACTAATTATAGAATTCACATTTTGTCATACAGGAAATAATTTGTTGATCTTCTCCCTAATAAATTGGTCAAATTTTGTTAGAGCTCTGTCACACTTTTTTTTATCACATGTCTTCATACTTTTAAGTTTTGCATTTTCATCTTCAAATTCCATTTTTTAGTTACATACGTTCATTGAATTTTTTTTTTTTAACATACCAACCTACTTTGTTTTATCTTTATATAGTCACAATAAAATTTATAAATTTACACAAGAATATACATATTCCAAATTTTGTCATACTATTATACTTTACAAAATACAATTCCCTCCAAAATAATTTTTGTCAGATCCCGAATTTTTCCCTCCAAAAGTATATATCAAACATTTATGTCTTAGATAATATTGCCCCATTATAATTATTACTTTCCAAAATATATCCGTTTAATGAGAAATTTAATTTAGTGAATGAAGTAAATGTTAATTCACACAAGATATATATATATATATATATATATATATATATATATATATATATATATTCCATAACTATTACACGAGTTTATTAAAAAAATATCAAGATGTAAACATTAAGCATTTTTAAAATGAATTTTCAGAATACATACAAACGATGATGTTGTACGATAAAATATAAAATTGAATAGACTGAAAAAAAAACTATTAAGACAGTCAATCTTGAAAATAGTATAGTTATGAAAATTATAAAGTAAGATAAAAATTATAAGATATTAGGAGATTTATAAGTACAATTAGTAAAAGCGTTACGGTTATTAGAAAAAATATAAGATCGTTAAGATTAGTAAAAATGCAATATATAACTAAATTATCACAGTAGTAATGAAATGTCATTATTTGATATTTCATATAATTAAAAGATATACCAAATTACATTGACAATATACTAAAATTATTCAAAGTTGCACTAAGACTAATGCAAAGTTCTTGCGAACACCAAATAAATAAGAACAAACATAAAAGCTAGCACTTATATTCATAATCAATTTAAAATAAACCAATAATGATTTAGAAAAAGAATTTCCATTGATGATATACTGAAATTAAATCCATATAACATTTAACATTTCATAAAATATACTCTATGATTTTATTTGAATAAATGAAATAGTTGTCAATATTTAATGTAGTGAAAAAAAAAACAGTATATTGGTTGTCGATATAGGCTTAAATTAAGTAACCTTATTATGGAAGGAACGTCTGATTAGAATACTTATGATTATATAATAATATCATAACCATATGTGACGAGGAATGTCATTTAACTAATAAAACAAAAAAATGTTGTATACAAAAAGATCCTTTAACGATTATAGATATTTATCGATTTGAATGTATCTTCTACACATTTTGAATAATACCAATAACCATAATTTTTTAATATAATTATTATGCAATATCTATAGACATTTGTATATTTTTTATGCGTTCCCCGCGTTTAACGTGGGTTATAATCTAGTTTTGATTTATAAAACATAATCAGATTTCGAAAATATCTTTTTTAAAGTCGATAGGTCTATGAAATGAAAAATAAACTTTTATTTTCATAAAACCCCTGAAGGCTGAAGTCTCTTTTAAACCCTTGAACAGCAGTTCACTCCTCATCCTCGCCGCCGCCCAGAGCAAAACACCATCACCGGAGACGCGAACGAAAAGATGAGGCTATTGACACACAACATGCTCTCTTCGAACATCAAGGGAGTAATCAATGGTTTCCCTCTCCGAATCGAAGTAGAAAAAGTCGTCGAGAAGCAAGTCGATTTCAATCCTGATTTCCTCAAGAACATGTTCTCCAAGATCGATTGGAAAGCCCTAGCCGACGCTTCAAAGATCATGGGATACGCCGAGCTCCCTGAAGAAGTCCCCGACGCGTCGGTGCTTGATTCCGATGAGTTTTTGCAGAAATTCCACCACGCACTTCTTGAACTTCACCTCGAGGAAGGCGCACTCGTTTGCCCGGAGACCGGCCGCCGGTTCCCTGTTAACAAGGGGATACCTAATATGCTTCTCCATGAAGATGAGGTGTGATAAACATTTTTCATTACAGTTTCTCGTTTATTAGAACGTATGTAATATGTGCTTCAAATACATCAATTTGCTGCGATTTGAAGTTTAGGGTTCTTAATGGATCACGTTGCCCCTCTTTTGCTATTAATTCATGTTTCCCGAATCTTCAAAAAAGTTCAGTATCATGAATTTTACTGATTCTAGTATTCAATATTCTAAATCAAATTTGCTACCATTCCATTCATGTATAATTGACATTGTTAGCTATCAACCTTGAATTGTGGCAGATTTTGGTATATATGTAGGTATTATTATACCATATAAATATCTGAAAAATCAAAAAACGATGAATCAATCAGATTGTTTAGGGGAAGAAAAATAGGAATGAATCAAGCACATAACCCTAATCTCATAAAAGAAAATTTAGGAAAAAGATTAAAAATCTTGTGTTATGAACTTGACACATCCAACTATTATTCCATCTAGATCATCATGTTTTATTCCATTTCAACACCGTTATTTTTGCATTTTTACTTCATTTGTTTTTGTTATTTGCTTCTTGGATATTGTAGCTTCATTTCCATGCCCAAATACCAAATAATTTCATCTACTAGAACATACAAACTTAGGATTCTTCACCTATAGCCTATAGGAACATACAAAATTAGGGGTTTTCATCTCCAAGAACATATAAAATTAGGTTTCTTCATCTGCAAGAACTTTGTAGCTAAGAAACTCTGTTTTAGATGAACAATAAATGAAGGAATTGTTGTACAAGACGTATCAATCAATTCAACCCCTTTCTTTGATAATTTGTTCATATTGGAAACATTCGATGGTACTTGGTAGTATCAAGCTTTAATTGTTTATAAGTGTTGCAAAATGTAATAGTTTTGGAGTGGTTGACTTATACTTGTGAAATTTTCAAAATTAAAATCATTTGGACCATGTTTGGTGATTGGTATTTGGTATACATAAGTTAGTTTATTTAATTTAATATTTGGTGGGACAAAGTTTTTTATTTGTTTGTGGGTATTAGATATTAGTATGAAAATCTTGCTCCTCTTTTATGTTGATGTCAAGGTGTTAAAATTAAAAAGGGTCTTTGGCAATAGCTTTTGTAAACTTTTAGATTAAAAAAAAAACTTAAATTAAATAAGAAAATAAATTTGTAGTTTTTAAGAAATAACTTAAACTAGATGGGAATTACCTGTGCCTTTGGCGCTATGTTTGTTTGTTTTTTTTTCCTTATTTCAAGCTATAGCAAATGGTAGAACATAGGATTATATTTATATTAATGAAAACATATTACATATACAGAAGAGGTCTTGATACGACTTACATAGAAATGAGCAAATGACATGTTTCAGTTTGTGGGAAGTGGTTGAGAGTTTTATATTTCATAAGATTATTCCAAACAGCAACAGCAAGTTTTGTAGGGATTAGATTACAAAATTTTGACATTGTTTTGGGGTCAAGTGATTTGGCAGCTCTGTAACGCACAAATGGGAACTCCTAAACAAATAAGAGTAAATTCTAAGAAATAGCAACATACTCATGTTACAAATATAGACAATGTACTTCATTTTTTTACTCATAGTTACATTTATTTACCCATAATAACAACATGCTCACATTTTTCAACAATAATAGTAATATGTAACTCACAATAACAATGTACTTACATTTTCTTTAACACATAATACAAAATATAAGTACATTGCTATTATGGGTTAAACTAAGCTGTTATATGAAAATAAATATAAATACTTTGCTATTTTTACCTTTATATTTGATAAATAAATAGGTAAAAAAAATGAACTTTTATAAAATCATACCAACATTGAAGCAAATACAGTTGCAATACGATTGGCCATGGCAGTTACACATTCATCTCCTTTTCGGGAAAATTCTTCATCCCCATAAAGTTCTTCCAACGCGCTCCCATGATTAGTGATAAAACACTGTTATGGTATAATTTTAACTTAAATAAATCTTATTATAAACGTAAATCAATTTATGTAAATGAGATTATATACCTGGCTATCAATGGCAAAGTACTCCAAGTTCAATTGCAAATTCCCTCACATGTTATTATAATTAAAAATTTATTTATATTACGCGAAGAAAAGGGATAATGAAAATGTTTTAACCAAACCTCTTTCATGCCACGTAAGCGAGACTTTATACTTGGCTCCTTTTTTATGTCAGCAACCAATTCTTTTGAAACAGATGAACTGAAGAAGACATAAGCTCTAAAAGAAGAAATAAATCAAGTTGTAAAATTCAATGATATTAATAGTCTTGGATACAAGATTTATAACATAAAAAAAAGGTGTATGATCTTTCACATACTCTTTATATAGAGGCGCTTTTCCAGCCATGTCAGCCAATATGAAATGAAGACTGTATGTATTTTAACAGAAGCATAAAAGAACACAATTAAGATACTATCAGTTGTTGATTTTATAAAAAAGATAAAATAATTTACTTTTTTTTTGTTGGTTGGATGTAGTATACTGCATCCACGGAGGGGACTGGTTGTCTTCTCTTGTGAATTTGTTCCACCATTGTAAGAAAAAAATAAACATATTATTCACCTCTATAAAATACAAATATGTCAAGTGACTTCACAAGATATATTCCAATGTCATTCTTAACTCAAAATTACCAATATGAGTAAAACATGTTGACCATTATATAAGATTAAGAAAAAAGGAATTCACATTTTGTTATACTGGCCTTTGTGTCTTACATGAAACGCCTTCATCTGTGATATCTGCCATTTTGCATGAACATGACATGATTTTAAGAGTAACTCTATCCATGATGAGTACCTAAAAACATTGAGTGTAAGATACTAACAAATAGAAAAAGAGACTATAAGTTTCCTATACCTTAAAAAAATGTAAATTTGCAGAAACCCAACTAACCCAAACCAATTTAGTCGGTCGGTTTAACAGATCACACGTTGTCAAAATCGGCAATAAAAAAAACTAATCAATAAGCTATTTATGCAAATTATCTAAAACGGAAATAAACAATCCAATCTTTGCAAGTTTTACCGTTTTATTCATATATGCTAACCTTTTCATATCAGCTAACCTTTGTATCCTTGAAGAACAAAAAAAAAATTGAAATCATGAGAATCAATAGAAATAAACAATTTAATCTTAGTACCAAATTCAGATGGAAATCCAATAGACAGAGTTAATTAAAGATAACCAAAAAAAAAATTCTTGAAATTTGTTAAACCAATTTCAAACCAAATAACTAAACTCCAAAGACAACAAAATTGGAAGAAACTGACTGCTTCTTTGTCTTTGGGTCATTCTGGTATACTAATCTTTTGGGTCTCCTTAGTGGTCTATGGATCGTTAAATCTTTTAAAATAACGATTTTGCCCTTCACAAAACTTGAAATTGAATTTTGGAAAACTTACCGTTGGGTTAGTGACCAAAAGATCATCTCCAACAATTTGAACTTTGTCACCACATTCAATAGTTATCTTGGCATATACAAGAAAGTAGATCATTTATAAAAAAAATAAATAAATAAATTTAGGATGTGAAAGTTGAGACTATACTTTACCTTTTGCTTGCACCATCCCTACTCGTTCTTAGTTCCATCATGTTCTTGAACCATGTAGTTGTCAATACTAGTTTCATCAGGGTCCTGTAATATGAACATATATGTTTACATTATGTATGTCAACTAAAATAGTAATATTTAGATTGATATCGAGGGGAAAGAGTGAATTGATGAAACAAACGTTGCCTACAATAGCAGGGTCGATAATGGTATTCACATTGGAAGCAACCTAATCATAGAATGTAAAACTTAGTTTAAATAGACATTAGAAACTGTCCAAAAATAAACAAAAAACATCAATTCAGATTTCAGAGTATTAGGTTACCTTGGAAACACCTTTTCCAAGGTAGTCCAAGCCTCCATCTCTTAGATCAAGTGTTTGATATATGCCTACAAGACAAAAATTGATGTGCATATGTCATTATTACATCTGCAATTCTAGCAAAATACCTGCTTGGCTGCTTGCAAGTTAAATCAAATGCATGCATGTCTACTGTCTACACCATTGATATACGAAATAAAAAGGCTACATATATTTAAAAAGTTTTAACCAAATATGACAAAAGTAGAAAGATGGGCATAGATGGATTTGGGGAAATCATTCTGAGAAAAAGTTTGAGTCATGAGAGAAACAAATCATACCGGTGGATACCTCACTGGGAACAACAGCTTGGTCTCATGTACCATTTGATATCAGCATCTGAATTTCAGGAAACGCAACTAATCGGGGCTCAATCAAGATATGAAACGTCGTTTCTAAATAATGATTAATATAACGTAAAATCAAATTGATGAAATATGAAGGGAAGTTACAATAAAATCAAAGTCTAAGCAACTTCAAATCCGAAATTACGGGTGATATACCTGAAATTCGAAAGTCGACCCTGAACTCCCTATGAAATTCATCGAAACCTACATAAGAACGAAATGAAATCAGACATCGACCTGTGGAAGTGGAGACGATGGTGGGTGATAATTAGTACCCCCAAATCGGAAACAATAGATCACCAGCAACAGCTCGAATGTCAGTCACCGAGGGAGAGAGACGATGTGGGAAAGAATTGAGAAAAGGAAGCGATTGGAGAAGGCAACAGCTCGAACATCAGTCACCCAGGGAAAGAATTGAGAAAAGGAAGCGGATAAAGGTACAGAAGATACTTGTAATGGCGGTGAATGATTGTGATTGGAGAAGAAGGCGGCAGGGAGAATATAAGAATAGAAAAGAAGAATGAAAGAAGGAAATCATAATAGAGGCGTTAGAATGAAAAGAATAAGTTCCGTGGCAAAACATGAAAGAGAAAAAAGTAAACTGTCACACCCCGAAACCGGAATGGCGGAATCGTTTCGGGGTGGAGGACGTCATGTTTAGCATCACAACCAATGAATAATAGGAATCATAGCAACACAACCAATACAGTGGTTACATATATAGGAAAATGTTTACATCAGTTTGAAACTTATTTTAAATACATCAAAAGTATGTAAAATATAAAAACATGACTCTTATTGCACCGACTCCTCTAAATCCACGAAGTACCTGTCTACTGATTTCCTGAGAATACAAGCAGTTTGAAAGAATATCAGCATAAAGCTGGTGAGTTCATAAACATTCAGTTTTGGTGGAAAAATGTTCTTTGAATCCTTTTGAAAAGTGTTCCTCAAGAAAATCCTATATTTTCTTATGAAAAGCATGTTTGCAAACCCATTCCTTCCATAACCTCCAGATTCATACAAGATATGTACAATCCAAGGAGCCGTGGAATGAATATGAATATCCGTTAGTTACCTGTTAAACAATCCGTTTTTGAAAAGCCGAGTTATCCCGGGAAAATCCTATATTTTCCCTAAAAGTTGATCATTGATTATCCGTTCTAAACTGAGGTGTACAAGTATCTACCATACTTATATCGATAAACATAGTTTTCTTTTAAAAACCCTGGTTACTCCCAGTGAGGTACATTAGCCTTATTACATAAATAAAACTAATAAAAAGAAAACATGGTGAACTAAATCCTGAAGGCATTATTAATACCCTCTAGCAATCAATCGGTTATTACTTTGAGGTTAGTTCACTTGATTCATTATTATAAAAGTAAATCTCTGCTATCTAGGTTGTGAGTGTCATGACCATAACTGACTGGATATGGCACGTAACGGGGCCGGTATCCTTTATGACTTTGTCACCCGTAGACCTGCCGGTCCGACTGTAGCTAGCAGCAAGGTGCGGGATTGTTAGTCCCGTATAGATCTATACACAACAGTCACGCTCTCCCTACAAGAGATTCTGGTCACAAGTGCTGGTCATACACTCTGATTCTGTGGGAGTGTTACTGATGATATATGGTCCATTGGCATGGCCTAGACTGCTCTAGCGCGCCAGCCTGGCCTGGCGCGCTCCTGCCAGCCCTGCCTGGCACTCCCTTGCCAGCCTCGCTGGGGACTCTCCTGTTGGTTTATATGACTAGTTCCAGTCCGATGTCATTGGCCGTGTACCAATAACACCAGACTGGGGGGGACTTGATGATATATGGTCCACTAGCATGGCCCAGACAGCTCTAGCGTGCCAGCCTAGCCTGGCGCGCTCCTGCCATCCTTGCCTGGCGTTCTCCTGCCAACCTTGCTGGGGACTCCCTTGTCAGCCTCGCTGGGGACTCTCCTGTTGGTTTATATCACTAGTTCCAGTCCGATGTCATTGGCCGCGTACCAATAACACCAGACTGGGGGGACTTGATGATATATGGTCCATTGGCATGGCCTAGACTGCTCCAGCGCGCCAGCCTGGCCTGGCGCGCTCCTGCCAGCCCTGCCTGGCGTTCCCTTGCGAGCCTTGCTGGGGACTCCCTTGCCAGCCTTGCTGGGGACTCTCCTGCCGGCTCGGCCAGACGCTCCCTTGCCATCATCTCCTGGTGCGCGCCCGCCAACCCTGCCTGGGGCGCGCCCGCCAGCCCCGCCCGGCGCCTTCGGGCGGCCTTGCCCAGCTCCTTGCTAGTTGGGCCTGAATTGGGCTGGCCCAAGGCCTGACCTAATTGTCCCCTATATAATGAATAGTATCTCCTCCACGGAGAGGGATCTTTCCCGAGTGGATTAGCAGCCACCATGGATCTTCCCTTTGGCTCAGCCGCCGCCCTATACTCCGGCCGGGTGGCTCAGCCGCCACCCGCCGCCGTCAGCCACCATACACCACCACTAGCACCAAGATGGTTCCCTCCAGCTATGGAGAACCATCTCAGATCTTCTAGCTGATCTAACTTGACCATCGGAGTCCGCTCCCGGGGCACAGTCCCTGGGACGGCTCTAACGACTTTGCACTGTGATGTCAGATCTCCGCCGCAGTAGAAGACCAGAAGACTCGCCGGAGGTCGATGTCGCATCAGTTACCAAGGACGTGTCTCCAACTTAGACTAACAAATTTACAAGTAATAATACTGAAAATCCTTTTTATGATTTGCATGAATCCTTTATAAAATAATACATTTTACTACATGATTCACAAGTTTGTTACCCTAGTTTTGAAAACTGTTTCTACGAGTTGATTTCTTAATCGTTTGGTAAAAACTGTTTTCCATGTTAAAAGCATACTGAAAATATAATTATCTTAAACAAAATAATATATTTTGAGCACAAGTTTCCTTGTACTTTTGCTTGTATTCCCCCCCCCCCTGAAAACATGAAAAACTCGGAAAAACGTAGGGGTATGAACTCACCTCGGGCGATTTGAATGAAGGATCGATACAGAATGTGGGATATTCAAGTGAAGCCTTGAACATGATTTGGTCCTAATTAACATGTAATGACACATAAAGGAGTCAAATGAAGGTATTTCCCTACTAAATGTGATGGAGAACCACTCTAAGAGCTTGGGACTACCTGCACTAAGTGTTAGGACCTTAAAGGACGGAATGAGGGGGGTGTATGGCCACCCTAAAGGTGTGTGCGGCCATGGGTGTGCGGACCAAGGGGTGTGTGGCCGTACACTCATG